GGGATGGGTGTGTCAGAGGCAATGCGACTGGCACAGGATAGAGCAGGGTTTAGGGCTGTTGTACACAGGGTCGCTATGAGTTGCAAACGACTCGACGGCACATAACAACAACAAGAACAACAACAACATCACTGTTATTAGTTGCCAGAGGTACAACTCATAGCAACCCTGGGAAAATCTAAACCTTGTCCTATCCTGTATAATGCTTCATCTCTGATACATATGAGCCCATTGCAGCAGTTGCTATAACAATCCATCTGGTTAAAGGTCTTTCTCTCTTTTGCTGATTCTCCAAGTAACAATCTCTCCTAAGAACACGTCCAAAGTATATTAGATGAAGCTTTGTCGTTTTTGTTTCTAAGAAACATTCTGGCTATACTTTCTCCAAGATACACACTAATATAATTTAATAGTACAACTCCTTACCAGCTGTTGTTGTTAGGTGTTGCTGAGTCGAGTGCACTTCATAGTGACGCTATGAACAAATATCTGAACCCAGTACGGTCCTGCACCATCCTCACACTTCCTGACACACAAGACCTCTGCAGCAGTCGCCATGTCAATCCACCTGGTTGAGGGTCTTCCTCTCCTTTGCTGATCCTCCATCCTTTCCAGAATCATGTTCCTCTTCAAGGAATAGCACCTCCTAGCAATATGTCTAAAGTATATGAGGCAATCTTGCCTCCAGAGACCACTCCAGGTGCACCCTCTCAAAGACATATCTGTTCGTTCTCTTGGGCATTCATGGGATGTTCAGTGTTCTTTTCGAACACCACAGCTCAAAGGTGTTAATTCTTTTTCTGTCACCTTTATTAACTACCCAGGTCTGAGCTACAAAGATAGTAATGAGAAAGACTATGGCCTGAATCAGATACACATTAGTCATCAAACTGGTATCACTACTCCTCAGTAATTTGGAAAGATCCCTAACTGCAGGTTTTCCTAGAGTAATGTGTCTCCTTACTTCCTGACTGCTCGCACCAAGGGTGTCATTTGTGGATCAGGCAAAATGAAGCTGTTGACAGTTTCAATCTCCTCTCCATCCATCATGACAATGTCTATTAGTCCATTTTGCCTATTTAAGCCTCGAGCTGCAATACTGAAAGATGCTATGGGTTATATATTTAATAACCCAGAAAGCATCAAAAAAAGATGGAGCAAAAACAAGAGTCACTGTAACAGAAAGAACTGACTGACACTGAAAATTTCAAGAAGTACTTTACCAGTAGACACCAGCAAATAAAAGTATCTGTCCAGTCACAAGAAAAATTAAAGAAGCAATTTCCAATATATTAAAGCATCTTTAACACAGTAATAAAGTGTTAATGCTTGCCACAAAGTAGTGTTCATTATTATGAACTTTGCGTATATACTTTTATTAAACATTGTGTGTACTTAAAATGGTAAATGTTACAATGGGTTTGAGTATCAGTCTTGATGGGCTGGAAGGTCCAAATCTGTTGTTCTCAGGGTTGTTATGTAGCATAAGACTGAATGATACCTAACAAGAAGAAACAATTTCTTTTACAGAGCAGCTAGTGGATTTCAACTGTCCTTCTTTTTGTTGGCAGCTCACCTCCCTAGGAACTAGGACATTAGAGTTCCCTAAGAAGTAAGTAAAGTAAAAATAAGGGATTGAAAAATAATTATCAAATGAGAGTTTGTGATTGTTGAAAATTCTTGTCTTTTTCCTCACTGCCCAGGAAACTGTTAAAAAGGTTCAAATTCTGCAAAAGAAAGTCTGGAAGAATTTGTTCCTATAGGAGAGTTTCTTCTATTCCATCAAACCTAAAAGAACATATCACCAATATAATGGTTCCAGTTTCCTCGCAGTGAAATACAGATATTAAGTCACCATCACAGAGAGTTTTTCCAAACATTTTAATAATTCTTATTTACTAGGAAACAGCTATAGCTAACTGTATGCTTGAAGAAAACATCAGCTCACAAAACAAATGAAAACAAACTAAAAAGAACAAGTAATTTGTATGAAACTAACAAAGCGGAAAACACACCCCATGTATCATTAATGTGAAAGCAAAGAGAAGACAGAAGAGCAATAAAACTGAATGCTAAAAAAGGAACTATCAGAAAACAAAGTAGACCACATGGAAACGAAAATGAAATAGCAGAAACAAGATTCCGTAAGAGTGATGGAAGATAAGTTTGAAGACGCCTTAGAAATCAAATCTCAAACCAAACCCATTACTGTCAAGTCAATTCTGACTCACAGTGACTCCATAACGCAGAGGAGAAATACTCTGTAGGGTTTTGACATTGTAATCTTTACGGAAGGGAGCTCTGTAGTCTACTGATAAGGAGTTTTACTGCCAACCCAAAGGCATGTTCATTCTGCACCATTAAATGTAAAACACAGTTACAATATTTCAGGTTTTTATAATTTCTTCTGTAAGTTAAAACTGTTCAAATTAACATAAATTTTTATGGTATGCTAAATAGAAAAAGGTAAGAGAAGAGTTAAAAGTCTGACAATTTCTCCCTTAATATATTTATATCCTCAAAGTTGGCTTATGTTAAGACAAAAATATACACGAGTTTCTACATTATGGAATAATTTCAATGTATTGTCACTTAAATACCATTATTTATATAGCTAACAAGACTTTTAATGTTTTTTGGGGGGTTAGGGAATCAAACTGCTAGCAGTTGTCTCTAACAGGACATTTATAACTTACATTAGTCTCTGTTCTTACCATTTGGAACAAGCTGAACATGGTCTCCCAATAGCCAGAAAAGAGAATCAGTCACAATTTTGAAATAGTGGAGTAATTCATCTTTTTCTTCACCCTTAACACAAAAGAGAAATCTTTTTTATTTCTGTAACAAGCACTTTCAAAGAATGACTTCTCAGTGGGGAATCAGAACATCTAGTGTCTGGACCTAGCTTAGCTATTTATGAGGTACAACATCTTATACATGGTTATACTTCAAAATATTAGTCTTTTCTTGCTTTCTTATCATTTAATGACATCTTACTTTCTTTTTTTTATTTAAATATTCTTTTTTTATTTTTAATATTTTTTTTCCATTTAATTTTATTCGTGTGTGTGTGTGTGTGTGCGCGTGCCATCAAATCAGATCTGACTGGTACAGGAGGAGATTGTTCCTCCTTCTCCAGCAGAGCATCTGGTGGATTTGAACCGTGCACCTCTGGGGTTGCAGTACACTTTCTTGCCACTAGCCCACCAGAGCTCGCCTGACATTTCACTTTCTTCATGTATGCTGGTCTGTCTCTATGTTTGTACTTCAGGACAAAAGTAATGATACATAGCAAAAAGATTATGATTGTCATGATCAATCCTCAAGGTTAACATGTATTCTTATTTTTCTAGCACGTATTAGATATATTATTTAATAAACAATTAAGTGCTGGCTTACATATAACAAAATCCACTTCAAAATAGCCTATGAAATGTCACAGTAGATTAACTATCCCCATAGTCCAGAAACTGCCTTTGCCAGTCACCAAAAGAAACAGCAGAAAGGGTGATAGTAATCCTCAGTTACTTTAACCTCCTTAGAGAGTTGTGTTCTCCTAGACTTCCTAGTAACCTTAAAAATAATTTCTAAATTCATGGCTCCTGACATCTGTTAATGGTTTAATAAACTCACTGTTAAATTACTTCATATTTCAAACACAATGTTTTTCTACTCTAAGAATTTGCTATTGCTATTTTAGAAAATGTGATAACGTTATATTCCCACTAGAATGGCTAAGATAAACAAAACAGAAAATAACAAATTGGGTGATAGATGGGTGTGATGTCAAGGGTTTATTGTTCAAAATGGCTTTCCTAACCATTGACTGATTTGACTTTGCTACATGAATAGATGTGTTGTGTTGTTGTTAAGTGCCGTCGAGTCGCATGTGACTCATAGCGACCCTATGAAGGAGAGTCCTCGATGCTTGGGTGCCTTTCATCCTCTCTCCAAGGTTCACAGGGTTTCCGGAAGCAAGCTATTATGGAAGTGGACGCCACTCCTCCTTCCACGCTTGTTTAATTGGGGAGCTCCACCCCACTTTCAGTCCGCACTGTGTAGCCAACCATTAACACATTTGACATATCCATGTCACATTGCCTCACAGCAACCACAAGTGACCGCAGGACGGCAACTTGTACATGAATAGATAGGGACATGTAAATAGGGTGTGTAGCTAGTTTTGCATAAAAGTGAGTGAATTCAGCAGAAGAAAGAAGCAGCAGAGTATGCAAGGTGTTCCTTTCAGGGCCAGAGATTCCTGTGCCAGCCAGACTTACAAGGGACCAGCACAGCAGCCACAGCAAAGAACCAGAGATCTGATGTGAAGACTGAGCTGATCTCAGGCTGTTAACCCATAGAACCAGAAACAAGAGCCCTCATCCAAGCTTGTTGAAGGACTAGGGAGGGAGATGTCATAACTGGTGGGACTAAGAGCTTTCTAACACTGCCCTAAAGCTGCAAGCCTGAAGAGCTTGTGGGCATACTTTGGAAGGTATCCTGACTGAGAATTTGTATCCTTTTAAGTTCCCTACTAAACACCATAACCATGAGTATGGTTCTGTGTAGTCTGTGAGATAGTGCAATGATTTCGGACCCAGTAGTGCAGTTAAGATGGGTGTTGGAATCAGCAGAAGTAGTTTCAGGAGTATAAAGGGTTATGACTAACCTTATAGGAAGTAGTTTTGTACTGTGGATGTTACTGAAGGAGACAGTTTCCTTTTGTGGAATTAGAAGAAGTCAGACTTGTTTGTTCCCATGCTGCCCTTGCTCCTTTTACAGTGGGGAACCTAGATCTTTATCTACTAATAAGAATGTAAAATGCAAACACTATGGAGTTCTTATGGTGTAGTCCACAGCATGTTGTGCTACTAATCAAAATGACGATATATGTAGGGTGGTTCAAACCAACTTGGTGCTCTGTGGGACAAAAATGGGCAGCTTTCTCTTATAAAAATTGTTATTAGTAGGATGATTGTAAGGGAGAAAAACTTCCCAGTAAACATGAATATAAACAACTACAGTGGAAATGAAAGACTGTATAAAACAATATATGGGGGGGTGGAATGAAAAACTGATTTCATTGTCTAGCAAACTCTAGTTCCTCAATTTGTCTATATAAATTAAATTCATTTCAAACATTAAAGCTCTGAGTTGCTCTTCAGATATTATCTTTGTACATTATTTTATCTCTCAGAAACAAACACTTTTAAAATAGAGTTTGTCAATCGATAGACACAGTACTGGCTTCTCAATCACTACAACCTTATGTTTCTAACTTGGACATATTTTAGCTTGCAAAGAATCTTATTGTTTCTCTATCTTTGGCTTAACACTTCTGTCAAACATTAGGTCTGGAACTTTTAAGCTTGGATTTATCCTTAAGATGTTATAGATAATCTACAGAAAATCAGCATCTGAGCATATCTCAGTTAACCTTCCACGGTTGGTTCAAAAATAGTTAAGGTTCTCATCACCATAGGCCTTATTGTTATTAGGTGCATCAAGTTGACACAGTACTGGCCTCTCAATCACTACAACCTTATATTTCTAACTTGGACATATTTCTCTATCTTTGGCTTAACACTTCTCTCAAACATAGGTCTGGAACTTTTAAGCTTGGATTTACCCTTAAAATGTTATAGATAATCTACAGAAAATCAGCATCTGAGCATAATATCTCAGTTAACCTTCCCTTTCCAAGGTTGGTTCAAAAATAGTTAAGGCTCTCATCACCACAGGCCTTGTTGTTATTAGGTACATCAAGTTGATTCTGACTCATAGCCACTCGATGTACAGCAGAATGAAACATTGTGCAGTCCTGAGCCATCGTCACAACTACTGCTATTGAGTCCACTGTCAGAGTCACTGTGTACATTCTTTTCTGCTGACTCCCAACCAATTATGGAAGCTTTCCCTATGGACTTATTCCTCCCGCAATTATATTTCACCATTTTTGCTTCTAGAAAGCTTTCTGGCTATACTTTCAAGAAAGGTTTGCTCATTCTTCAGGAAGCCACCAGTATATTCAATATTTATGCTACCACCATAATTCAAATGCATCAATTTGTCTTCAGTCTTCCTTATTCATTGTCCAGTTTTCATATGCATACAAAGCAAATGATAATCATAGCTTAGGTTAGGAATACTCTAATCCTCAAGGTGACATCAGTGCTGTTTAACACTTTAAAGAAGTCTTCTGCAGCAGATTTTCTCAATGCAAGTAACTCATTCAATTTCTTGGTTGTTGCTCCCATGAGTGTTGATTGTGGATCCAAGTAAAAGAAAATCCTTGAAAATTTGACTCTATTCTCCATTTATTATTATGTTGCTTACTGGTTCAGTTTAAAATTTTGTTTTATATTTAACTTTAATCCATACCGAATGAAAGCTATTATCTTTGCTATTCATTAGAATTGTTGTTGTTAAGTGCTGTCGCGTTGTATGCGACTCATAGCAACCCTATGAACGAAAGTCCTCAACACTTGTGTGCACGACTTTCATCCTTTATCCAGGTTCCTAGGCTTTCCGGAGGTGAGCTTTTTACGGAAGTGGATGCCACTCCTGCTTCCAAGCTTGTTTCAAGCAGGGAGTGCCACCAAACACTGTCTACCACGGGTAACTGTTACTGCCTTTGACACATCAGTGCCACAGTGTTCAGTTTCACAGCGACCACACATTACCTCTGTATAGCAAGTGGACACACCAGGGCTATACGACCTAGAACAATGTTTGAACAAAAACAATGAAAAACAGGATCCTTCAGGATTTTACCATTATCCAGCCTGCCCAAATGCTGGCCAACTCTGGCCCAGAGACGCCCCAGTTCTTCTGGTAAGTCCACTCTGCCGACTCATACCTGGGGCACAGAGAAAGCCACAAGTGCCTGGTGCCTTCGATACCTGCTTCTCCCCAAGAAGCCAGAGGCCACGTACAGCTGACACTAAGTCTCCCAAGCCACTTGGCATGTCCTGACCTCTCAGGATTTTACCATTATGCAGCACACCCAATGCTGGCCAACTCTGGCCCAGAGACTCCCCCAGTTCTTCTGGTAAGTCCGTTCTGCCAACCCACACTTGGGTCCCTTTAACATTTAAGAAAAAAGAAAAATTGGGTCATTTGCATATCCCAGAATGCTGATGAGTCTTGCTCTAATCCTGATGCCATGGTCTTCTTCATATAATTTCTCAGATGATTTTTTTTTCAGCTTACACACTAAACTAGATGGTGAAAAGACACTACTGATGTATACCTTTCCTGATTTAAAACCCAGAATTGTTCCCTTACTCTGCTTGAACAAATGCTTCTTTATAGGTCTTGCATCACCATAGTTAAGTTTTAAAATTCTTTTTCTTCACAATGTTATCCATAATTTATTATGATCCACATAACTGAATGTCTGCATAGTCAATAACATACAAGTAACATCTGAGTATTCTGATTTCAGCCACGATTCATTTGATAACAGTAGTAATATCCTTCACTACACATCTTCTATGTCCAAAATTCTTGAAATTTCTGTCAGTTCTCTGTCACACACTGCTGCAATAATTTTTTTAAATTACTGTTAGTCTCATTAACTATAATAGTTTGAAATTATCTTGTCAACCACTGTAGCTGGCACATTATTATATTTTCTTATAAGCTTCCCTACAATTTATACAATTAATTTAAAACACTTCTAAATATGGCTTGGTCTGAGGCCACCTAACAGGGGACAGATCAGTGCAAAGATAGAACTTGTATTGTCTCTGAACTACAGGGACTTGTGCTTTTTAAATCCTTTTTCCTTTTACCACTCTGGAAGG